CCCCCCCCCCCCCCCCCCCCCCCCCAGATGGGATGGTAGTCCCTCGCAGGGTCATTCCCCTCAGTAAAGTTGTTTCGAGATTGTTAGAAACTTATGTTTTAGTAAGTTTTCTCCTTTCAGACTACTAATTTGGGAATTTTGTGCCGCAAGCAAGTTGTTTGTTTCCTTGACTTTGCAGTCTTATTGCCACTGGGACTGCTGCATCTACTGCCAATCTTCTCGATGGCTATAATGAGGATGACGATGATGGTAAGTATATTTTAACTTTGTGTGAAAATACATTTAAATTTACTTCATGGTAAATTGTGTCTCCTGGTAACTTCTTTTTCTGAATTACATGTAAATGCTGTAGTCTTTGTTATTAAGACCGTTTTTCTCTTTTGAAACTGTTGTAATTATTCAGATGAACTTCTTAATGCCATGGGGTCAGCCAGGCTGGAAATCATGGATGAGAGAGATGAGGACAAAGAGAGCAAGACAGTTACACAGCAGAAGGTAATGAATGTCATGTGCCAATGATTTAAAATGAAATGCTACAAAATGTTGTGTAGGCAATAAGTCTAGGTTTTTTTATTGACTTGACATTCTGCTGCAGGTCATACCACATGGTCCGTGATCTTATACAGCTATGTGATTGGCTAACAATAGGTGCTTCATTCATACATTATAGTCCTGCTTTTGTGAAATTGTCAAAAAAGCTTTTAAATACTCTGTGATTTCTTGTGTTGGTGGATTGGCGCTTGCTGCTACATGTGGCTAAAGTTGTTGCCTTTTGCTCTTCTGAATGCGTTCTTGAATGATAAATTAAGCAACGTGCACTGTACTATGTCGTAGATTATGTATTATTATACTGTAGTTAACTTATTTTCTGTTGTTTTCTTTGTTGAAGCCATCAGAATCAGAACAGAAGAAGGCACCAGGCAGTGTTGAGCCAATTGTCTTCTTTTCTGAAGATAATGAGTTTGAATATAAAGAAGAAAAGTAGCAAATACATGAAGAAATTCTGTGTATTAGTAAAATCAATATTATGTATCATAAGGTTCAATGCGATCCAGGGATATACCAAGTGAATGTGGGAAGCTCCATACAGTCTAGTAAAGCCAAAAGGTATGTGGCAGCACTGTACTGGTGGCTGTGTGCCTGGAACTTACTTCAGGGTGAACTGCATGCTCTTTTCATTGTTCCATTTACCATCATCGCGCAATATTAAGGTGAACAATAAACATAAATAGGAGGTACCTATATGTACTTGCAGAATGAAAACTGTTTTCATATACCGTGTAAATGTCGCTCACATAGTTGTGATAATTATAGAAGAATGTACATTCATTCTATACAGTGTAAATGCCCCCTCACAAATCATACATTCAGGTCGTATTAATGGTTTGTGTAGACTAGATTTAGTTGGCGCTAGGATTATAGCTACTAACCGTTGTTGTCTCAGCAGTTTCCTTATAAACAAACTCATGAATGTCATGAGAAATATGAAACCTGTCGATATGAGATACAGTAGAGTTCCTTGCAATTCCTTCCCTAACCCAACTGGAAATCCAGTAAAATATCACGCACGCATTGCAGTGAATTCCTTAACGAGCGTGTAACGTCGCTAAAGCTACTTAAACTTAAATAATTATGTTATCCTGATTTGAGTTTTGTACGTGGCCTTAGGTTACATGTACATGTAGATCTATTTACAACACAATGTGGTAATTAATTCTGAGAAAATCTTTCTCTTCGTTTTTCATGCATGTAGCAAATATTTCACTTTGGCTGATACTCTTGGCGACTGCACAAAAAATAAATTACTCCTTTAGATCTCTAATGAAAAGGGCAAGGTAGTTTCTGTCTTGAAAACCATTACCTGGGCGTTATTTTGCGTGACGTGACGTTTCGTGACGTGTTGAATGCACACTGCTGCACTGCAAACTCCAGCGAAGTCCTTTAGTGCCCAGTGTGAATTGTTGCTATTTAAAATGTTCAAAAAAAAAAAAAATTTTCCCCAGGGTGAGAGGAGTTCATCGCCAGAAACTCTTGGGGTTCTTTACATCTGAATATCCCCACTTGATTTGTTGACTCTAAACTTTTTCTATATTTATCGGAAAAAAATCTCATGCTGATAACTAATACATGTAATTTTCTTTGAATATTGACCTCTTTAGTATAATGGCCTACGAGGTAATTATATGTGAGAGATGATATGAAGGGAGCAAACTCCGTTCGGTATAGAACAGGTCTTTGCTCCAGTACATGTGAACTGGGGCGCAAGTTTATGAATTGGTTATGAAACGCAACGGAGGTAAATACATTTATGTATTGGAAATAAAGCGTATTTTAATAGCATGTACCGAGGGGAAAAAATGATAGTAATCAGATGAATATTGTATCGCATGAATGGGGTGATTAAATAATACTGATTTTTTCTGGCCTGTGTGAGGAACGATTGTTCACTTTCATCTTTTTTTCAAACAGAGAATTCATCTGTACGTGTATTTGCGTTGCATCGTAAGTCTCTTTCACGGGGTTTATTTAAGTTCAATATATATTTTTTGTCTATAACAACCAAGTAAAAATTCTTTTTATAACATAGCGCGCGCGCTGGTCGTACCTAGTTTCTGTGGAGCCATCGTAGAAATTTCCTGGATAATGCAATTCGAGAGTTTTCATTGGCTTAGCCATCATCAGCCCACAAATATGGTAAGCGTACGCGTGTTTTTGTGGGGCGTTTTTGTGTATCAGTTCGAGAGCACTCAAGAAGTTTCCAGAGCACTCAAGAAGCTAGCGGAGCTGCTCTCGGCTGCGCCGCCTCGAGCAACGCTTACATCTCTGGCGTGCTCTCCAAGCGTCTCGCGTGCATCGATAACTCGATATACGCGCTAAGAATGAACCAATTCTTGAGTAAATTCTCAACCTCTCGTACTTCTAGGACCCCTCGACTTTTAGTTTTCTGCGACGCGCAAAGAACACCGCACCTGCATTTCACCTGTTCTTTTAGTCGCCTTTCCATTCATGCTAACCTCTTCAGTCAACAATGTAATTAGTTCGGCGCTAATTTCTGCGCTCTCTTTTTCCGTTAACTTATTCACTGCTTCCATAGCCTTGGTTGATCAGTTAAGCTTATTAACGTCTTAGATCATTACTGGTCTAAACATTACGAAGTATCATTACAACTTTTCGTATCGGAATTATAACCTCCAATCGTGTTTCAACTATCTTAATTTAGTCTTGATCTTGTAGGCTGAGGTACTTCCTAGGAAAAGAGGCGGCTATTAAATAGGAAAACTGTTGTAATTATGTCGTCGTCGTCGGCGTTAGCTCGTGTCCGAGCATCAATTTCTTCTAACAGTACGGTCTCATCTTTGATGGCCTCGGAGGTGGCTTAGCAGGCCAATCCTTGCATAGAATTTGCGAGGGCAGTGAGGGCACGGGAGGGTGGGCGGTGGACGAGGGGCTGCAAGACGGCGTTTTTGTTCTTCACGTTTCTCTACGGCTTTGCGCCTCCATTCCTCTTCAAACATGGCAGTCCCGGTGGAAATGGACTGTCGCCAGCCGGATCGATTTGCCGCTGTTGTCTCCCATGTCCTCGGATCAATTCCAGTTTATGTGTTAGTGTGCTTAAGTGAGTCTTTAAAAGAAAGTTGGCCTACGGGCGAAAAGGTGCGGTAATCTTTAATCTTTAATCTTTAATAAAAATTTCCAAATTACATTACATTGAACAAGTCAATCCAATGAATTTGAGGACAGCTTAAAACAGAATACAAGATTCCTTAATATAAGCCGCCTGAGTGTATCATTGTATGAATGTATACCTAGTTAAAAATTAATCTAAACTCATGTTAAAAAATAAGATAATCACGATAAAAAATTAGCACTGAACATGTTATTTATGTAAACCAAGAAGAGCAGGGGTCCCAAAATTGATCCCTGGGGTCTCCAGCTGTGACGGGGAGAAAAAAGTGATTTTTGGAAGTTAAAGTATTTCGGCTATGCCCCTTCTTCCTCCGAATTCGAAAGAGGTCTACTCTTCTATATACTAAAGCATGATGCACGCAGTTTGATCGGTTCAATAAATTTTAAAAGCTATGAGAAACGCACGTTTCCCTCCCCAACTTCCGCGCATTCGACGATAACACTTGGCTATATGTCATATATTTCAACAAAGACAAGATATTTTTTCGTATGAGTAATTTTATTTCTTAAATGAGGTCTTTGTAGGGCTATGTAGCTTCAATGATTTAAACTTTAAACTGAGAACTGAAGTTTGCTCTGATTGAGCAACTGAAGCACAGTTAACAAACTGTAACTAAATGAGACAGTTTTGCTAAGGTTGTAAGATAAAGAGCTGTACATCCCTTACAATAATACATTTTCATTCATTTTACTCATTGAGTTTTCTCCAGGCTACAAGATACGTACGTGTCTTGCCGAAATACCAGGCGGCTGTTCATTCTCTCGTAAACTCAAATGAAAAAAGTCAGAACTCCGCTCTCAATCACTGAAGTTGAGGGTACTTTTCCTTTCCCCGTTTGTTTAGTACACCTAGGCCCCCTTCGTTATTCCCCAGTCTTCAAATCTTCGTGAGTTGCATGGTATTGTTTTAAGACCTTATTTATGTATTCGCCCTTCTGAAAGTGCAACGCACATTTGGCAATACATATGATACTTTGGCATCCAGAAGTCTCCTATGATAGTTCCACTTATATTACCAAATCCTTTCCACTTCCATTCCAAGTATTTGTTGTATTCAGTTTAATTCCTGCTAAGATACTTTAAATAATCGGCCAAATGTTGAGGACTCTTGAAATCGCGGACTTTTATAACGGCGCGTCGAAGATTTCCTGGCAGGAACTCGTTAAGTTTACTAGTACCCATTACCACAGGGACTGAGCCGGCGTGAAGAGCATGCCTTAGCTGCGCATCAACAAAATAGTCGCAGTCCTGGTTAAAAAATACCAGAGTAAACTTGTACGTCCTGGCTAGTTCAGTCTTAGCTTCTCTAAATTCTTTGCCGTTCTGATAACCATATATTCCAACTAGACCTTGTTTGTTCTTAAGACAAGCACCATAAGAGTCGACCTGAACATACTTAATCAGCTGTCTCATGTACTCAGTTCTCAACGGTTCACAATTTGAAAATGCTGCGATGACGAGTCCATCTTTGTCCTTAAAAGGAACTGGCGGTGCTATTGCAGGCATAAAAAAAGTTGGATCAGGGAAGTCGGAATCCAAGCGATAACTTCTCAGTAATTTAAATCTGGACATAAACGTTCGGTCGGTCAATACGGGCGTGTACACAGGATTTTCTTGAGTGAGCAAGATCCACGGCACAGATTCTGTAGGAGGAAGCATGTTTGCATCCCTCGCGTGGACGACGAAGCCATTCGCGTCGGTCACTCGGGATTTGTTGCTTGTGACTTCGCATGGCACGGGACATTCTCCTTTCTTCCAAGCAAGCTGTATATCAACCTGCTGTTGAAAATACGTCGACCAGAAGATGATAAGCCATTGCTTTGTTTGGCTGGATATCCCGTGGTTATTTGGATTGTATTCTCGTGATGACTTCTTCGTGTGATTCTTCATCTCAGTAGAGACATTTTCTTCAGTGAAGTAACGTATCTCAAGCTGCTATAAGAGTACGTACCGTCAAGAGAGTAAGGCAAAACAAGAACATCAGAGCGAAAGATTTGTTAGCCATTGTGATGCATTATGTGATGGATATTTGTCAATGTCTTCTTACGATTCACCTGTACAAAGTAAAAACATCTTCGCGTTAATAAGGAGATTTAGATTCAGTAAGAACGACACTCGTATGGCGGCAATAAACAGGGGCAAGAAATTAAAGGATTCGTACATTGATGTCCTTGCAAGAGAGAAATATGAAATACAAACAAGGTGTTTTCGACGGAACGAATCACTGATATCCGAAGAAAATAAAGGTGACACCTATTTCAAGAAGAAAGGGACGAAGTACCAACAGCGGTGAATGAAACACCCGTATTTCTTCCTTGTGCTCATGCAAATGAGTAGTATTTCCTTAGAAACGTTTTTGCACTCTCCCGAGAAACTGTTTTACTATCTACAAGATATTATGCAATAGAGTCAATGCTTAAATAATCTGGACGCGTAAGTGAAGTAGCAAAGGTAAATAAACTATATTTTGACGTAGTCGTCAACGCTGGTCAAAGATTTATTGCTTTGTCTAAGCCGTGAACTAAGTAATTAGTCATTAATCCTGGTGCCTGGTATTTGGATTAAAAGACTGTTACATCAGCGTTTTCTTCAGTTCTTCTTTAATCATAAAAGGAAAGTGCTATGATAATTAGAACAGTAAGTAGCCCTAGTATAACCTGGTGTAGTGTAACGATGCCGGTGAACAGGCGCAGTTGGCAAGTTATTTTCGTAATTATTGAGTTCCTGATTGCGTTTAATTATTTAGTCACTCCTGAATTTATTAGTCAAAACAACTAGTTTGCCTTTCAATATCTATGTAATGCCAAGAAAGTAAGTGTTTGATCATGAGGTGGAGAGATAGATTTACGTCTTTGATATTTGATATTCATACTAGGGTCAATTGAACCCTGTCAAAACAAGGTATCCGCTGACCAGTATCACATGGCCACATAGCGGGCTCAGGTTTATAGCTCATCGAGGTCATGTGTTTTTTTTAAATTTGTTTTTTTTAATTTCACGGCGTTTCTTGTTGCCAGCAGGAGGAAATATTTCTTCTGTTAAGAAGAGCTTATCTTCTGCCTCTTTTATTTTACATTAGTGTAAAATGAGGTTGACACTGCACGACTTCTACGGTTCGTGACATTTGTGCACTTGACGTTCTCTTTTGATTTTCGGTCTCTTGACCCTCTCTTTGCTTCACACGTGTGTCTGAAGGGTGTCTGAAGGGTGTCTTAACGATGTCTGAAGGGCACTTTATGCTGTGTTATTAGGAGAATTTAATTAAGTAGAGTAGAGCCGTTTGCCTGTGTTGCTGAAAATTTTTTAGAGGTCGTAGGTCCGCATGGTTGCCGCTGTTGCTTGTCGCTTTGCAGATCGAGTTTGACACTTCTCTAATTTGCCATGGAATGGAATTTGCTATTGAATTTGCTGTTCCATTGAATTGGAACTTTGTGCCTTCAGAGTTAATACTAAGAGAGCTTAAAACATATCTTACAATAGAAATTAGCCTAAACAAAGTATAAGCCTATGTGCTCATACTTTGTTTAGGTTCATTTTTCTAAATTTAATGAACTTTGCGAGGAATTAAAGCCACTGAAGCCCCCAAGACTCACTGTAACTTTTCGCATAAGCGGTTAACCGACCAGTAGCTATCCAGCACATGCATCGCAGAATTACTGCTAATAGCGGAGCTGGGCCGCCAAGCGGAGCACCATAACTTTTGGAACAGAACCACGTGCATGCATAGAAATAATATTTAACAATTAGAC